GGTGTTTGCTCTTTTATTTCTTAGAGAGAGATAGAGAGGAAGTTGGGAGGAGAAGAGAAAAGTGGGAAGAAGAGACCCCATTCTCTCTCCTATTTTTACATAAATATACTTGCTTCATCATCTTGCAAGTGGACCCATGATAATACATCATTATTTAATGTAAAATAGTTATCGTGGGGGACCCGCTTATAACTATAATCAATTTTGACGGGCATCTGTCTTGTCGGCAATTGGGATATATCCCGGGGGCGGCTTCTTCGAATTCTGTTCGGCTCGAAAACGGACAGACTCTCCATATGGGGACTCGGTCGGCTTTTAGATGATCACTCTGGTGTACCTGCTAGTATATTTGTTTATCTCGTATCTCCGACTCCTCGGTTATTGGGCCGTATTTTATTATTTCGTTTATCATTTAATTAATAGGAGTCAAATTGGGTATCAACAACATCAGCTAAACCCATATCTTTCATGTCGAAATTTCTTTTCAACATTCGTTTCGTATCCATGATCACGTCATGGCTACTCCCCATGATCAACATATTGTCTACATATAGACATACAATTACATATGTATTTGATGTGTTTTTAACATAGACACATTTGTCACATTCGTTGATTTTGAATCCATTTGACAACATTACGTCATCAAATTTCAAATGCCATTGTTTCGGAGCTTGTTTAAGTCCGTACAAGGATTTGATCAATTTGCACACCTTTTTCTTTTGTCCAGGTGCTACAAACCCTTCGGGTTGTTCCATGTAAATCTCTTCTTCTAATTCACCATTCAAAAATGCCGTTTTGACATCCATTTGATGAATCTCAAGATTGTGCAAAGCAGCAATAGAGAGAAGCACTCTAATTGACGCAATACGCGTCACAGGTGAATAAGTATCAAAGAAGTCATACCCTTCTTTTTGTTTAAAGCCTTTGACCACTAATCTTGCTTTAAACTTATCAATCGTTCCATCAGCTTTGTACTTTCTTTTTAGGATCCACTTGCATCCTAAAGATTTACAACCCGCAGGGAGATCAACCAACTCCCAAGTATGATTTTGCA